GAACAGAAGGGAACAACGTGGAGGGAAACCCACCCCGATAGCTGTTAAGGAATATAATTTTGGTTGTGCCTTGTTCTTAACTTGGAAACTGTTCCTTGTCTCTCACCTCATTTTCTTCAGCAAGTTCATTTGTGTCTGGATCTCTCACATAATATCCATTTGACCCTTCATAACTTCCTCGAAGTAAGGAGATGTCCATTTCAGATTTGGGAAGAAGTTCGTCATTCCCGCCGCTCCGGCCAGTGTTTTGCATTATTTCTACGAGTTTCCTTATGACGTCCTCTTGTCTCTGTATTACCTTCTTCTGACTAGACACCGTATTTTCCTGGAATAGTAAAAAATGTTAAATATAATCCGCACTGTTAGGGAAGGAGGTATTTTACATGTTATATAGAAGTGGTATTCAACCTGGGGTACGCGTACCCCCTGGGGTACACGAAGACATCTTAGGGGGTATGTGAAATTTAAAAATATATATTATTTTATGAAAAACACTAAATAATCAGAAATGTAATTTATTTAATTTACATTAAATGTAGATTATATACTATGTATAACTTGAATTATACGCCAACGACTTTGGGATACAAAGTTGAAGAGAAATTATATCTGGGGGTACGCGAACAAAAAAGGCTGAATACCACTGATCTGAAGAACATGACGAGTTATTTTATGCTTCAAGATACTAAGATATTAGGAAAGATATGCATAGCAAAAAATTCTACATGTTCCAAGGAATTGCAGTTTTGGATATGGCATCTCTGACGGCTGCTTTCAGTGCAAGCGGGAGGGATTTTTTTCATAGGGGAGGTGTTGCTCAGATAATCATGTAATAACAGATTATTCCCCCACATGGTTATGGGAATACATTGATATTCCCCACACAGTCACTGCCACTCGCAGAAATGGATGTGATTAGTCCTATCTACTGTTACTTATTGTTTGCTTTTAACAAATTTGGAATGTGCAGACACTTTAATCAAGTTCTCAAATGTCAGACTTCAAAGCTGTTTAAGTGCACTACTGAAAATAATTTTATACATTGTAACCTTTTTATATACATCTATCCATTGGAGCATTTGACCTTGATCGCACTTTGTAATCTCTTTCCATAAGTCTTAAGACTAGCTTATCTGGATGAACGAATAACCTGTCAACACATTGGGAGAATTAGGGAGGCCAAAGCCCACTCCGGGCTGTAGCGCCTGGGGAGAAGAAGATATTCCGAGAATTATGGCGGTGAATAAGGAATCTGTTTGCTGCTGAAGTAACATGCACATAGACACGCATGCCTTGGAAGGCATTCAAACCTACGATAATAGCGTTCAGTCTAACCTAAGACTAACACAACAAACCTAGGTCGTTCAGCTTGACTTGTGAAACAACTATTCAGAATTAACCAACTGATCAAAGGAACTTGCTGCGTTCTTCATCAGTCGCCTTGCAGGTAGAGACAGCAAGGAATTAGAAACTTTTACCAGACTACAGGACCCTATTTCCACGTTAAAGGGACATAAAGTGACAGAATTCATAAAATCGTACTTGGAAATCCCCTGTTCCATTAATTATGAAGAAAACAATGCCACATGTTATCATCATCTGGTGTGTTCATGGCCTTAAGACACATATGTGATAGTGGAAACTTTCTAGAAAATACAGGCTTCCGACATACCAAGATTTCGTTCATTGCACGTCGCTCTTTAATTCCGGCCTTCAGCGATTTGATGAGATATTTTACTATGTCTCTCTTGAGCTGATCGTTCACCTCGAGCTCGTCATTCACCTCGGGGTCATTATCCTCCGCTGTGTCATCGTCCACCTCGAGCTCGTTGTTGTGATCCTAGGACCAGAATGATAACATTTACACTTACGTGTCACATAATTATGATATTGGAGGAGATCTAAATCCAATTCAGTGTTCACAGCACTGATTTTCTTTACAATGGATTTATCTCGGAGCAAATATAATTTGCACCCTTCAAATTTAAGTGAGGGAGCTAAATCTTTGTATTTAAAAGCACCTACTGTTGACATTTTCGGAGAAGAGTTCAAATCTAGGTTCAAGGGTTGCAGGAAGATCAAAACATCTTCTTCAATAATTTTATCATTCCTTGGATCAGATAATTCTCAAAAAATTCCAAATAGACAACAGAGAATTACAAAGCAGAGGAGTTGCGGAATGAAAATTTCTGAGTGTACCCTGTCTGCTGTTTTAAAAATGCGGTGAAATGTGGTATTAACACTACGAACAATAATGTAATCCACACTCAGTCAGAGAGAGCGACCTTGTACATACCCAGAACACATAAATGGTGAAGAACATGACTAACACGAACCGGAATACGTCATTTGTGGAGTAGCTGTTGTTTTGCACCTCGGGGTCATCGTCTACCCTAGGGTCATCAACCACCTCGAGGTCATCGTCTACCCTAGGGTCATTAACCACCTTGGAGTCATCGACCACCTTGGGATCATCGTTGTAAGCCTAGGACCAGAATGATAACATTTACACTTACGTGTCACATAATTATGATATTGGAGGAGATCTAAATTCAATTCAGTGTTCACAGCACTGATTTTCTTTACAATGGGTTTATCTCGGAGCAAATCTAATTTGCACCCTTCAAATTTAAGTGGGGGAGCTAGATATTTGTATTTCAATGCACCTACTGTTGGCACTTTCAGAGGAGAGTTCAAATCTAGGTTCAAGGATTGTAGAAAGAAGAAAGCATCTTTTTCAATAATTTCATCATTCCTTGGATCAGATGTTGAAATAATTCTCAAAAAATTCCAAATAGACAACAGAGAATTACAAAGCAGAGAAGTTACCGAATGAAAATTTCTGAGTGTTGGAAAAATGCGGTGAAATGTGGTATTAACAGTACGAACAATAATATAATCCACACTCAGTCAGACAGAGCGATCTTGTACATACCCAGAACACGTAAAAGGTGAAGAACATCATGAACACGAAGCAGACTACGTCATTTGTGGAGTAGCTGTTCGGTTGGACCGCCGTGCTTACTTGCTCGAGAATGTGTTTTATCCAGGACTGCATTTTGTCCTTGAAGGTGACAGTTGGTGCCGGGCGTTGCAATAACCAAGATACTGCAACAGAACATATCACACCGTCAGTTTAATCGTGTAAGCTCACGTCACATTGTAGTCGCCCTCGAAAATGTTTCTGGTCTGCTCGAAAGATTTCCTTCTTTTAATGAATGTACAGTGTCATTACCGTAAACTCAAAAAACCTTCATTTTATCATGCCATCTGTTTGTTGTGTTAATAGAGGTTGGTAATTATAACATTTATCACGCTCTGATTATTACACA